CATGAAAAGGCTTAACATTCATCAGTGAGACCCATGCACCAAGTTAGCAATGGAGAGATGGAGACATAGACCTATAACACATTTATAGGTACACATTTATAAGCAATACATTTGAAAAAATAAAGACTGACAACCTCTGAATTTGGCAAAGAAAGCTTATAGACTCAATAAACTAAGCAAAACGTTAAATTCAAATGAATCCACATTTAGACACATTGTAATAAAATTGTGAAAGATTAAAACCAACAAAAATTCCTTAAAAGAATCAGAGAAGCCGGGTGCAGTGGCACACACCTGTAATCCCAGCAGTTCAGGAGTCTGAGGCAAGAGGATCGTGAGTTCAAAGCCAGCCTCAGCAATGGCGAGGTGCTAAGCAACTCGGTGAGATCCTATCTCTAAATAAAATATAAAATAGGGCTGGGGATGTGGCTCAGTGGTCGAGTGCCCCTGAGGTCAATCCCTGGTACTAAAAAATAGAAATAAAAAAAGAATCCGAGAATAATAGTACACTTCATGCAAGAAAGTACTGATCTGAATGACTATGAACTTCTCATCAGAATCTACAGAGACCAAAAGAAAATGGCATAATTTAAAGTGGCTAAGTAAATAAACAAATATCAACCCAGAATTCTATATCCAGTTAAAATATTTCTTTTATGAGGTAAAATAAAGACAATTTCACATGAATAGATCAATCACCAGAAGACAGACATGCTGAACGATATTAGAGAGAAGCTTGGATATTGAGTGTGAAGAAAGAGAAACAAGTGGCCAAAGTAGTGCTTGTCTATAATCCCAGCTACTCAGGAGGCTGAGGAAGGAGGATTACAAGCTCAAGGTCAGCCTGGGCAACGTAGGCCCTTTCTCAAAATAAAATGTAAAATACAAAGAGCTGGGRATATAGCTCAGTGGTAGGGCAGCCCTGGACTCGACTCTCAGGGGGGGGAAGGGAAGAAGTAAAGAAAACAAAAATGTAAACACCGTACAATACTACTTTACTCTCTTAAACCCCTGGAAGTACTGAGTATTGAAAGAAAAACATGGAAAAGAAATGTTGTGTTGCCTGGTAGAGTTTTCTGTGTTATATATTTTTTCTGTGTTATATTGATATTATAATATGGCAACTACAACATGACTGGAGAATAAAGGATTTATATTGGTAAGGCTTCGAAATTCCACTTCAGGTAGTAAAAGCATTAATTCCTAGAAGATGGTGAAAATACAAACATTGCAGTCTCTAGAGAAACCAYTAAAAACAAACTATACAACAAGCTGTAGTCAAAAATTCAATTGGTGAATTAAAATAGAAGACTAAAAACTATTCAAATAAAGAAAAGAAGACAGAAAAAGGGGAAAGGAGAAGAAACATATAGAACAATCAGAAAACAAATGATAAAATAATAGACAAAATACAAACACATGAATATTGACACTAAATATTCATGGCCTACACATACCAATTAAAAGACAGAGACTGTCAGAATTTATTCTTAAAATGCCCTAACTATATTCTGTTTATAAGAAACTTACTTCAAGAATATTTAAAAGTAGGTACGTTGAAAACAAAAGGTGGCAAAGGTTGTACTATGGAAACACTAATCAAAAGAAAGCTGAGCAACTGTTTCTAAGCAAGAAAAGGAGGAACATTAGGGATAAGGAGGAACATCAGGGATAAGGAGGAACATTAATTATATAATGACAAAATAGACAATTCACAAAGAAGATGTGACAGTTCTAATGCACATCCTCCTAACAAGAGAACTTCAAAATATATGAAGTAAAATAGGATACAACTGAAAGGAAATAAAAAAATTCACAGTTAAAGTTAGAGACCTCAAAGCTCTTCTCTTCATAACTTATATGTCAAGTTCATAGAAAATCAGCAAGGATACAGAAGAACTGAACAGAAACACCAGTCAACTCAATCTAACTGACATTTACAAACTACTCCACCCAACAAGAACAGAATACTTGAACAAGGAACAGTCACTGAGAGAAGTCATACCCTGTATCACATCATGGGAAGAAAATTCAACATAATTTAAAGAATGAAAATCACACACAAAAAATGTCTTCCCCAACTGAAATGGAATGAATTGAAATAAAAACCAAAAAGATATTGGCAAGTAGGACATTTACAATGTACTTTTATAGCCTTCTCTTTCTACAAGTCCCTTACATTTCAGCCAAACCTTGCTCTTTAAGCATGCGATATGCTTTCTGTGTTAGTGGGCTTCTTGTCTCCGTGACCAAAGGACCTGACAAGAACAACTCCAAGGAGGAAAAGTTCATTTTGGGCTCATGGTTTCAGAGGTTCAGTCTATGGTCAGCCAACTCCATTTCTCTGGGCCTGAGTGAAACAGAGCACCAAGACGGAAGGAAAAGGTGGAGCAGAGCTGCTCAGGTCGTGGCAACAAGGATCCAGAGAGAAGATAAAATCCACAAAGGTGCATCCCCAGTGACCTACTTCCTCCACCCACGCCGCCACCTGCCTACAATCACCACCCAGTAATCCATTCGAATTATCAGTCCGTCAAATAAATCAACCCACTGATTAGGTTACAGCTTTGTGATCTGTTGAGTTCATCTCTGAACTTTTCTGCATTGCCTAACACACAAGTTTTTCCAGGGACACCTCCTATCCAAACCATAACGCCTTCCATTCCCTCGCTATGAGGTTCCCACGGCCACCCTCAGGTCTGAGGACCTACTTCGGGCACTCACAGGAGTCCACACATGATCCTGCTCCTGGCTGAGATCTAGCACCGCAAAAGGAAGACAAGCCAAGGGAAAAGGCACACGGGGCAGCGCCTGAAGGAYGAGCTTCCAGGAGTCTTCTGCAAACCTTCCAGAATTGTGTAGAATATGGTACCAAAAAAAAAAAAAGTCTAGCAAATAGTCCTTGGGCATATTCTACTCCTTTCCTCTCTCCTCTAGATTTTAGAAGGTCCCTAGACACCCTAAAGCCACTTCCCCTCTAATCTTGAATTGACCTGACAGCTCTTCCACAGGTCAGCCTCCTCCACTCTTGCCAAGTATCCTGCTGCTGCTCTGTCAAGTATTCAGCCAATGGCTGGGCCAACTCAGGTTTGCTGACCTGAGCCCCAGGAGTTCAGGAACACCGGACTGCAAAGGAGTGCACCTGATCATTTCAGCCTCAAAGCACTCAAAGTTAAGCACAGAGAAAGGAAATACATTCAGGTTCTACCAAACAGGCTCCGTCACCCAGAGGCTCTGAGGTGGGGAGGCCCAGGTGTGGCACACCGACAGGCTGTTTGCAGATGGTGCAGTCTGGGCACAGGATGAAGGACAGAAAGACTTGGTCCAGTTCACTCATCCACAGCTTTTCCCCTGCTGTGACCAAAAGACCTGACAAAAACAATTAGAGGAGGAAAAGTTTATCTGTGGCTCATGGTTTCAGAGGTCTCAGTCCATAGGTGGTTGACTCTGTTGCTCTGGGCTGGAGGGGAGGTAGAACATCATGGCAGAAGAGTGAGGTAGAGGAAGGTGGCTCAGGATATGGACCAGGACGAAGTAGAGAGAGAGACTGAGCTCAGCTCACAAAATATATGCCCCAAGGTTACACCCCAATGACCACCTCCTCCAGCCACACCCCACCTGCCTGCAGTTGACACCCAGCTAATCCATATCAGGGCATCCATGCACTGAATAGGTTAAAGCTCCCGTAACCCAATCATTTCACCTTTAAATTCTTTGCACCATCTCACACTGAGCTTTGGGGGGACACCTCACATCTAAACCCTAGCAAGGGTTCTGGGCCAGGGGACTAGCATGAACACACACCCAGAGAGGAGAGTGAGCCTACAGGACTGTGGGGACAAGGAGAGACATCTGCTGGACGGAACAGACAGTTTCTGATGCAAGGCTGTGAATAAAATCTGAACAGGTGATTCAGACACACACTGACAAAAGGAAGAAAAACATTTTCTCCCACTAAGCAAATTAAATGTTAGTTTTCTGCAAGTGCATCTTGCAGCAACCAAATGTAAAAACTAAGTGTGTGCAAAGGGGCACAAGGAAGTTTTAGGGGGTAATGAAAGTTCTAAGGCCACACTAGGATGATGGTTGAATCACACCCTTCAAATTGGTGTTCTGTGGGATATGAATTATACCTCAATAAAGCTAGTTTTATAAACATTTTCCATCAGTTATCATCTTAATTGTATAAATGTATGAGACTGTGAGATATTTGATACACATAAAAAATATAATGCTCAAATCAGGATCATTAACATTTCCCTCTCTTTAAACATTAAAAAGAGTTAATGCATAATAATCGTACATATTTATGAAGTACACTGTGATATTTCCATGCATATAAAAAATGTACTGATCAAATCAGGGTAATTAGCTTTGTAATCTTCTTATCATGACTCGATGTGTTATCATGACTCTTCTAGATATTATATAATTTATATATAAAACATTTTTTATATTTAGTATAAATATATAACACATTTAGGTGAACTATAATCACCCCACTATTCAGAGGTAACACACACCACAACTTTTAAAAAAAATTCATAAGTTCTCGTGTTCTAAAGATTGTAAGTTTTATTAAGCTTGTGCTAACTCTAGTTCCAATTCATGCTGGGTTGATTGTGATTTCTTTTATTCCCACCTGATCACAGTAGTCTCGAGCCATATTTGTTGACTGAATGATTCTTTCACAGGCAACTAAATTAAATAGTGTGCCAAATAAATGTTTGATTTTCTTCCTCATCTGTTTTACACTGAAGATATTGGAAATGTTCCCCCCTTTGAATTCATGTTAAAATTTGGGGGGAGCTGGTAGCAGTGGTGCATACTTGTAATCCCAGCAGGCTCCGGAGGCTGAGGCAGGAGGATGGAAAGTTCAAAGCCAGCCTCATCAACTTAGCAAGACTCTGTCACAAAATTTAAAAAATGAGAAGGGCTGGGGATGTGGCTGAGTGGTTCCATCCCCCGGTACCAAAGTTAATATTATTAATTAAAGTAGCTTCAGCGTCCTGGTGCTGCTACGCCGCGGAGCCCGTGCGGTCATCCAGCCAAGATGCCGGAGGAGACACAGACACAAGACCAGCCCATGGAGGAGGAGGAGGTGGAGACCTTCGCCTTCCAGGCGGAGATTGCCCAGTTGATGTCGCTGATCATCAACACTTTCTACTCGAACAAAGAGATCTTCCTGCGGGAGCTGATTTCCAACTCGTCRGACGCCCTGGACAAAATCAGATACGAAAGCCTGACGGATCCCAGTAAGCTAGACTCTGGGAAGGAGCTGCATATTAACCTCATTCCAAACAAACAAGACCGAACCCTCACGATCGTGGATGCTGGAATTGGAATGACCAAGGCCGACCTGATCAATAACCTTGGTACTATCGCCAAGTCTGGGACCAAAGCGTTCATGGAGGCTTTGCAGGCTGGCGCAGACATCTCCATGATTGGCCAGTTCGGTGTCGGTTTTTATTCTGCGTATTTGGTTGCCGAGAAAGTGACTGTGATCACCAAGCACAA